AAAGGCTCTGCCGAAGGCCCCAGTGCTGCCGTCCGCATGCGTCAAGCACACCCAATTCGGCACACCCCTCACGCGTTTCGTGGCCCCATAGGGAGCTCCACCGAAGGCCCCAGTGCTGCCGCCCGCATGCGTCCCGCACACCAAATTCGGCACACCCCTCACACGTTTCGTGGCCCCATAGGGAGCTCCACCGAAGGCCCCAGTGCTGCCGTCCGCATGCGTCCCGCACACCCATTTCGGCACACCCCTCACACGTATCGTGGCCCCATAGGGAGCTCCACCGAAGGCCCCATGGCTGCCGTCCGCATGCGTCCCGCACACCCATTTCGGCACACCCCTCACACGTTTCGTGGCCCCATAGGGAGCTCCACCGAAGGCCCCAGTGCTTGCGCCCGCATGCGTCACGCACACCCAATTTCGGCACACCCTCACACGTTTCGTGGCACCAAGGGGAGCTCCGCCGAAGGCCCCAGTGCTGCCGCCCGCATGCGTCCCGCACACCCACTTCGGCACACCCCTCACACGTTTCGTGGCCCCAAAGGGAGCTCCACCGAAGGTCCCGTTGGGTGTGCCCGCATGCGTCCCGCACATTCATTTCGGCACACCCCTCACACGCTTCGTGGCCCCATATGGAGCTCCACCGAAGGCCCCAGTGCTGCCGCCCGCATGCGTCCCGCACACCATTTCGGCACCTCCCTCACGAGTTCGTGCCCTATAGATTTCCTATCAAAAACCGAAGTCCATGTGCCGGCATTGCGTTTTCGGCACACCCATGTTCGGCATGCTCTTTCACACGCTTTCGTGGCCCATAGGCCCCCCGTAGATTACATTCAGGGGTGTGCCACGCCTGCGTCCCGCACACCCATTCGGCACACCCCTCACGCGTTTCGTAACCCCTCACACGTTTCGGGGCCCCATAGGGAGCTCCACCGAAGGCCCCAGTGGGCGTGCCCGCATGCGTCCCGCACACCCATGTCGGCACACCCCTCACGCGTTTCGTGACCCCTCACACGTTTCGTGGTCCCATAGGGAGCTCCACCGATGGCCCCAGAGGGTGTGCCCGCATGCGTCCCGCACACCCATTTCGGCACACCCCTCACACGTTTCGTGGCCCCATAGGAGCTCTGCCGAAGGTCCCAGTGGGTGTGTCCGCATGCGTCCCGCACACCAATTTCGGCACACCCCTCACACGTTTCGTGGCCCCATAGGAGCTCCGCCGAAGGCCCCAGTGCTGCCGCCCGCATGCGTCACGCACACCCAATTCGGCACACCCCTCACAGGCTTTGTGGCCCCATAGGAGCTCCGCCCAAGGCCCCAGTGCTGCCGCCCGCATGCGTCACGCACACCCAATTCGGCACACCCCTCACACGCTTCGTGGCCCCATAGGGAGCTCCGCCGAAGGCCCCAGTGCTGCCGCCCGCATGCGTCACGCACACCCAATCCGGCACACCCCTCACACGCTTCGTGGCCCCAAGGGGAGCTCCACCGAAGGTCCCGGTGGGTGTGCCCGCATGCGCCCCGCACATTCATTTCGGCACACTCTCACACGCTTCGTGGCACCATAGGGAGCTCCACCGAAGGCCCCAGTGCTGCCGCCCGTATGCGTCCCGCACACCCATTTCGGCACTCCCGTCACGCGGTTCGTGGCCCCATAGGGAGCTCCGCCGAAGGTCCCAGCGGGTGTGCCCGCATGCGTCCCGCACACCCATTTCGGCATGCTCTTCACACGCTTCGTGGCCCCATAGGGAGCCCCACCGAAGGCCCCAGTGGGTGTGCCCGCATGCGTCCCGCACACCCATTTCGGCACACCCCTCACGCGTTTCGTAACCCCTCACACGTTTCGGGGCCCCATAGGGAGCTCCACCGAAGGCCCCAGTGGGTGTGCCCGCATGCGTCCCGCACACCCATTTCGGCACACCCCTCACGCGTTTCGTGACCCCTCACACGTTTCGTGGTCCCATAGGGAGCTCCACCGATGGCCCCAGAGGGTGTGCCCGCATGCGTCCCGCACACCCATTTCGGCACGCCCCTCACACGTTTCGTGGCCCCATATGAGCTCTGCCGAAGGTCCCAGTGGGTGTGTCCGCATGCGTCCCGCACACCAATTTCGGCACACCCCTCACACGTTTCGTGGCCCCATAGGGAGCTCCACCGAAGGTCCCAGTGGGTGTGCCCGCATGCGTCCCGCGCACCCATGTCGGCACACCCCTCACACGCTTCGTGGCCCCATAGGGAGCGCCACCGAAGAAGATATTCACAATTGCGGTATTCACAATTGCATATGGTTGGGCCCTTCGCCAGGATAATTCAAATGTTCCCCTTGTTTTTTTTGCACAGCAGACCATGATTAAGGTCCCCGTCGCCACCGAAGAAAGATCCCTGAAAACCTACGAGGGCCCCAAATCATCGAGCGCTTCAAGAACACGTATGATGTTGTGGTTTCCGTATTTCCCCTCATACGTTTCCGACGCTTGCGCAGGGGTTCTCAGGTCGTTAGATGCACCAGGCATTTCAGCAGTTGCGATTCCCTTCTCTCTCTCTTTCTCTCTCTCTCTCTCTTTCGCTCTCTCTCTCTCTCTCTCTCTCTCTCTCCCTCTCAGGACCTGCTCTCTTGTATGATCATGCGTATCTCTCTCTATATATATATGTATATAAACATATATTTATACATACATACATCTACACAATGCAGCTGTCTGCGGCAAGTCCCGCCATTGTGGCGATTGCTCGGGGGGGGGCGATTGTTCGATGGGGCATGGGAGACCGTCACGTGTGACACCTCGTTTTTTTCCAGGCTCTGGAGAGCTGTGATGAGGATGATGAGGATTATGAGGATGCTGGAGATGAAATCTTGATGTTGGTCGATGCTGTCGTTGATGAGGGTGGCGATGCTGGTCGACGATGTGGTGATGCTGATGATGACGATGATGGTGGTGATGCTGCTGATGATGCTGATGCTGATGGTGATGATGATGGTGGTGAACATGATGGTGACGGTGATGCGGCTAGTGAGGATGTCGATCATGGTGGTGCTAATGACGATGGTTAACTATGACGATGGTGATGAGTATGGTGATGGTGCTGCTGATGATGCGTATGATGATGCTGGTAAGGATGGTTATGTTAATGATGGTGGTGACGGTGATGGTGATGATGATGGTGACGTTGATGATGATGGTGATGATGATGATGATGATGACGATGATGATGGTGGTGTTGATGATGGTGATGGCGATGGTGATGTTGATGAACATGAAGATGATGTTGATGATGATGAGGATGATGATGAGGATGGTGAGGATGATGATGAGGATGGCGATGGTGATGATGGTGATGACGGTGTAAGGGTGAAGATGATTATCGTGGCGGTGGAAGCGGTTGTGATGATGTTGCTTATGATGATGCGGCGGCTGCTGCTGCTGCTGCTGATGCTGCTGATGATGATGATGATGATGATGATGATGATGATGATGATGATGCTGATGATGATGATGATGATGCTGATGATGATGATGATGATGATGATGAGGGGATCATGACGAGCATTAGCGTGATGGTTACGACGGTGATGAGGATGATGATGAAACTCGGTTGGGCCGTATTGGGGTTGTCTTGGTCTTTTGTGTGGTTGTCTTGGGGTCCTTTGGGAGCCCTCTTGGGCCGTCATGGGGCACTCTTACGCCAGCTCGGGGTTCTCTTGGGCCGTCTTTGGGCCCTCTTGACCTTATGGTGGGTGTCTGGGGGCCGTCGTGGGGCCGACTTGGCGGGGTCTTGTGCTGTCGAAGTGCCTTCTCAGGTCGTCTTGGATCCCACGAATGGCCCTCTTGGGCCGTCTTGGGGCCGTCTTGGATGCCTCTTGGGTCATCGCGGAGTCCTCGTGTGCGTCTTTGGAGTCAGCTGCTGGCAGCCCGAATGGCGAGAGTGATTGTACTTTCTTCGGACCTTGGTGGAGGTCCTCTTGTGACCCTTATGGGCCCTCTTGCAGGCATCTTGGGTGGTCTTGAAGCAAGGTCGGCCGCCTTGGGGGCATCTTGGTCCGTCTTCGCGTCATCTCGGGCGGGCCATCTTGGTGTCCTTGGTTGCCTGCACGGGCCGCCTCGAAAGCTCGGTACGCAGATCTATTTTTTTAAGCAAAATATCGCGGTTTGGGAGGCTTTGGAACGCTTGGGAGCAGCGCCTGGGAATGCCGGAAGTCCACTATCCTCGAGCGGGTGCACGTGGGATGAGGGCTCTAGGAGGTAGTAGCCATGCGGGAAGTGCTCCATCCTCGAGCGGGCACGCTTGGAATGAGGGTTCAGGCACCAGCTGCCATGCGGGAAGTGCACCATCCTTGAGCGGGCGCGCGTGGAAGAAAGGTTCAGGCATCAGCCGCCATGTGGGAAGCGCACCATCCTCGAACGGGCACGCGTGGACGGGGGGTTCAGGCATTAGCTGCGAGAGGCGATTCTCGAGCGGCGCGTGGAAGGGGGGTTCTGGCAGTAGCTGCCATGCGGGAAGTGCACCATTCTCGAGCGGACACACGGCAGGGGCCCCGGTGAGTAGGGGGGATGCACGCGATTGTCCGCAGGTAAAGGGGGGCTCCCGTATTAGAATTCAAGCAACCATACCAGGCAAAACTTGGCATCCATCCGCGCCTCAGCGTGCACAAGGCACGGCGGCGGACCTTCTCTCCTCTTCTGGTATGACTATCGTCTCTCCCTCTCTCTCTCTCTCTTTGTCTTTCTCCCCCCAGCAAAAAAAAAAACGCCACCATCATCCTTTTGCTGTTTATATCATATAAATATATATATATATATATATATATATATATATATGTCTATTTGTTTTGTTCTGCTCTGTCTCTCTCTCTCTCTCTTTTTCTCTCCCCCTTTCTCTTTCTCCTACCCCCCCCGAACACGCACACACATACACACATATAAACACACACACAAGCACACACACACACACTCACCACGCCCCCCCCCCCCGCGCCTGCGGCCCGTGCTGTCTGCTGGCGACAGTCTCCCGCCGTCCGTCCTGGACCTGCTGTTCGTGACGGGGGCGCTGTGGGCGGTCGAGGACGGCCGCTCCTCTTCTTCCTCCTGCTAGAAGGAGGAGGAGAAGGAAGGGAGGAGGGGGAGGAGCAAGAGGAGGAGGGTGGGGGATGAGCAGGAGGAGGAGGAGGAGGAGGGGGAGGAGGAGCAGGAGGAGGAGGATGGGGAGCAGGAGGAGGAGCAGGATGGGGAAGAGGATGATGAGGAGAAGGAGGAGGTCGAGGACGGCCGCTCCTCTCTTCCTCAGAGGAGGAGGAGGAGGAGGAGGAGGAGAAGGGAGGAGCAGGAGGCGGAGAAGGGAGGAGGAGGATGAGATTAGTTTCTTGTCGGCGCGCCGAGAGGGAGGGCAAGAGGGGGCAGGTCTTTCCACGAGGCGGCGGGGCCCTTGGAGAGGGCTCCGCGAGCTCCGCGGGATGCTGGCGGTCTGCTGAGCCTTCTTGGAAGGCTCGGCCCACCCTGCTGGGGCAGTTGTTTTTCTTTCTGGCATCCCATGCAGACGAAGTTTGATCAAACGCACACGCACACGCGCACACGCACGCACGCACGCACGCACGCACGCACGCGCAAACGCACGCACGCACGCACGCACACGCACACGCACACGCACACGCACACGCACACGCACACGCACACGCACACACACACACACACACACACACACACACACACACACACACACACACACACACACACACACACACACACACACACACACACACACACACACACACACACACACACACACACACACACACACACACACACACACACACACACACACACACACACACACACACACACACACACACACACACACACACACACACACACACACACACACACACACGCGTAGCCATTTTGGCTCAAGTAACCGTTCGGCTCAACCTGGTTCGCCGGGCGCGCTGGCTCGTGCCGGCCGCGCTCGCACCCGGCCATGCCCGGTGCGTTCACGCCGCAGGCGGGGCGTCGGGGCGCGGAGGAGGCGGCGCGCGGCGCCCTCCTCGCAGCCCACGCCGCCTCGGGGCTTGCTGCTGGCCACTCCCTCGAGGGAGTGCGCCTTCTGCGAGCGGCCGAGGGCCTGCTGCGCGCTGCGGTGGCGGCCTTGCGCTGCCGCCCTGCCGCGCCCCCGCGAGCTGGCGCCGCGCCCCCTCCGAGGCGGCGGCGGCGCGGGCGTCGCGGTCGAGGTGCGGCCGAGGCGGACGTCGGGATGGACGTCGAGGCTCCCTCCGAGCCGCCCGCGGAGGACCCCCCGCCTGAGCCCGCCCTCGGGGCTCGGCGGCGGCGGCGCCGCGCGAAGCCTCCCCGTGGGGCTGGGGGGGAGGAGGGGCGAGGAGGTGGCGGCGGTGGAGGCGCTGGCACGGCGGCGGTGGCGATCGGGGGAGGGCCCGACGCTAGGGCTGCCGTGGGGCTTGGCGCCCACGCCGATGCTTCCGCGGCGGAGGCGGTCGTGGTTGGCGGCGGCGAAGCAGCTGGAGCGGCGCGCATGGGCCTCGAGCTCGTGCTTGCACCTGCGGCAGCCGCCGCCGCGGACGGCGACGACGCGATGAGCGACCTGAACGATGAGTGGGCCGACGCGCCCCCCGCTCGGCTCGCCAGGCCGCCTCCGCAGCCGCTGAGCCCAGCCCCAACGGCGGTTTCAGCGCTGGCCGAGCAGCTGGCGGAGATCCTCGAGTCACGCGAGAGCATGCTGTTCATGCTCCGTGATCGGTCTTCGAACCTGGCTGCTGACGAGCGGCGCTGGGCCCTCCTGGGCGACGATGGCCTTCGGCGCGTCTTGCTCCAGGCGCTGGGGCTGCAGCGGCCCGCCGAGTCGGCGTCAGCCCCGCGGGGCGAGTCGGCGTGAGGCGCCCCTACGGGGAGAGCTCCTAAGGGGGAGCACGCGGCGGCGGCGGCAGCTGGGCGCTCCTCGTCGCCGCGTTTTGCGTTGGTTATCCGTGCGATGCCATCGGGCTGCGTGGGGCGAATCGCATTCCCCACGGGCCCCCCTAGGGAGGCCCCCTAGGAAGGCCCCTGGGCGCTTCTGCGAGGGCAGAGCGTGCTGGGGGTTTCATAATATTCTAGAATATTATTGCTCTGGTGCTTTCTGGTCCTGCCCAGGGGCTCCAAAGCGGCCCATGTGGGCCCGTTGGCACAAGCCACGGTCAGTTGCTCATATGCTGCTGGACGTGCGCCCCCGAGGTCCCGACACACACACACACACACACACACGCACACACACACACACACACACACGCACACGCACACACACACACATTCACACACACACACACACACACACACACACACACACACACACACACACACACACACGCGGAGCCTTCTGGGAAGGCTCGAGCCCCTGGGCTCGCCGCCGACCTTCCTCCCCTCGGCGGCGGAATCCAGGCTCCACTCTCGCCGGCTAGCGAGTCAGGCACCTCGATGGGCGACGGGGATCGGGTCCAGAGTTCGTCGAACACGTGGCGAGATATCCGAACCTTACCCTCGCCCCCCATCGATAGAAGAGAATCGATGGCTGGTGGGGGTTGGGCGCGGATGTCGCAACGCAGATGGGCTCAAGGGAGTCGAAGCTTCGAGGTTCGAGGTCTTTGGGTGTTTTCGTCAGCTGTCGGCGGCTGTCTGGCCTCGGGGTGCATTCCAGCGGCTGCGCCTCGCAGGAAGTGTCCCGGGGGTGCCAGGATCCTCCCGAGCTACCGATGTAGGCCCCTGTTGTGACACGAAAACCAATTGGATAGGTTTCGGGCTGCGCACAGGCGGCACCCCCTGTAGGTGGCCCCAGCTGGCCTCGGCGGTCCCCCCCCGAGTAGCCCAGGATGGTCTCAGCACTCTGCCGCCGCCTCCGCCAGGGGCAGCGTTTTGGGGGGAGAGGCTCGGGGGGAAGGCATCGACCCACGATCGCCCGGTAGCCCCACCCCGCCACTGAACGTGCGGTGTCTCTGGTCGCGAAAAACGGTAATGTTTGTTGTTTGACTCTGGCAAGTTTGCTTGCATGGAAGGGGGTGGGGTGGGGGCCTGAACCTGAAGCAAGCCGCAAACGACTTGACGTGTGGAAATCACGCAAGTCGGAAGGCACTTACACGCTAGTATTCGTCTGAAGAGGGGCGAGAGAGGGGTGGGGTGGGGTGGGGGTGTGGGTGGGGCGAGCGCCATGCAAGTAAACTTGCCAGAATCTAAACAAAAGGCTCAAACGTCCTCCTCCTCCTCCTCCTCCTCCTCCTCCTCCTCCTCCTCCTCCTCCTCCTCCTCCTCCTCCTCTTCCCGCCAAAGAACGTGCGGTGTTGTTGTCGCGACAATACCTGCCTGGGGCAGCCCGGACCTGGCCCTCGCCCCCACGGCGCTGCCCTCGCTCTCCGACGGGTGCCATTGGCGAGAGGGCCTCTGCGAGAGCCCACGGGCGTGGGATCTTCGTGGTGGCTCCGCCGGCGGAAAGTCGGGCGGAGGCTCGGCGGAAGTCGAGGGAAGAAGTCGGCTACGTAGACAGGATCTCGTCTCAACAAAAATCAGGACGGGAGGTTTTTAGCCATTTTCGGCCCCGGGGGGCCCTCGCCGGGCCTCGGGACCGTCAACTGACGACTCCAGAAGAAAAACCGGTCCTGGGGAATGGGTCGAGACTTCCGGGGAGCCCGTATCGAAAAAAAACACCATATCGGATCTCAGGGTTCGGGTATAGTCAGGACCCCAGTGAATCGAGGAAGCCAAAACGGCATAAACATAAACTTCAGTTGGCGCTCCACGCGGATTTCTCGGATCCGTTCTTTTCTCCCCCGGCGGCGCCTCCGGCGCCGCCCCTGGCGCGCTCCGCGCGGACCGTCGAAAGTTTATATTGATGTGCTTTCTTTCTTTGTATAAGCAGGACCCCGGTCAGAAATCCGCGCGGACCGTCGAAAGGTGATGTTGATGTGTTTTTCTTCCTCTGTGTAAGCAGGACCCCGGTTAGAAGTCCGCGCGGGCCGTCGAAAGTGTCTGTTCATGTGTTTTCCTGCTTCTGCGTAAGCAGGACCCCGGTTGAAGGGACGCCAGGTAGGGATCGGGCCCCGAAGCCCCGAACTAGGGACTAGAATCACCTTGACCAGGTCTGCCGCGTGGCTTTAAGTCGGACGTGTCCGTCGAATAGGTCCGTAATCCTTTTGGCTCAAGCTCCGTGCAGCCCATCTGCCGGCCACGCACCGCGTCACTCGCCCGGGCGCGTGGCCTGGCGGCAGGAGCTCCAGGGGCTTTGCCCCGAGCGAGCAGTCCGATGAGCGGCGGCTGCAACGTCAATGAACAGGGCCTCAGCCAGGCCGATGGAGCGAGGCTGGTCGTCAAGAACTCTTTCTTGGAGTTGACGGACGTCAGATCTGGACTCAGCCGCAGCAGAAACGCTGGTCAGATTGGGTGCAGCACGACTGGGGGATGCCCTGCGCGTGTGGATGCGGTCCAGGACGCGCACCGGGACGCAGGGCAGAGCTCAGCGAGCGTGCAAGGCGGTCCGGGTAGGACAGTCTCCGAGGACTCGGGCGCCACGGGTAGCCACTGCTCCTGGGCGGAGCTCAGCGACTGCAGCGGGTACAATATTGGCGGGTGCTCTGGGATCGGCGACAACAGCGACGACGAGCGAGGCGGAATCCCCAGCTCGGCGTCTGGCGACCTCCACGATGCGGGCCGTGGCCCTGGGCGTGCGGAGGAGCGCGAGGCCGCCCCTCACTCGGAGGCACGGTGGCGGCCGAGCGGCAAGGAGAGGCAGCACGCCGCCGGCACCTGCAAGCCGTGCCTCTACTTCGGGAGCAAGAGGGGCTGTTCGAACGGCGTCCGGTGCGGCTTCTGCCACCTGCCGCACGAGAAGAAACACAGGCCACGGCCCAGCAAGGCCGTGAGGGAGCAGTGCAGGCAGCGGCTCGAGATGCTGGATCTGGCCGACGATGGCGGGTTCAACGCGGAGGGCCTCACCCAACGCCGCGAGGCCCAGCAGTACATGCACACCATCATCCGGGCGCGGGCGCGGCAGCGGAGCTCGGGGCAGGCGGAGCCCGAGAGCCGCCCGCAGGCCGCCTGAGGGGGCGCGAGGAGAGGCCCAGCATCGCGCCCGCCCGCCGCCGCGGCTGGGAGCGCGCGGCCTCGGGGGGGTGGGGCGGGGAGCGGGGGGCCGAGCGGCAGGATTTGTTTTTGCCTGGGCCTCGTCTCGACGAGGGTGCCTGCCCTTGACAGAGGGCTCTGTACTTCCATCTCGTCTGGGGCTGCCGCTTGTACTTCTGCTCCTGACCCCCTCCTGGAACCCGTCCGTGCCCCGCCGGCAGGCAGGACGCTGGCGCAACCAACCACGTGCCACTGTCGGAGGGCCCCTCCCCCCGCCCACGGGCTGCGTGCCCCCTTGCCGTTCGGATGCTCCAAGCCCGTGCGCTCCTTACGCCTCGGCGGTGGCCTTGCATCTTATCCATCGTACGCCTGACCCGGCTCAAGGGCTTCTCTCGTGGGTTGATTGTACTTTTCCTTGAGGGGAGCACGAGGCCCGTGTGCGGAACAGGCCTTGCAGCGAACGCATGCGAACAGCGGGCTCCCGTCCAAGCACTGTATTGAGAAGAGACGTCGGCCGAGGGCGCCAATCTCACTCAGCTCGGGCGGGGCGGAGCCAGAACAGCTCTCTGCTGAGGGTCGGTCGGGAGGAGGAGGGAGAGAAGAGTTGGAGGAAGAGGAGGTGCAGGAGGGAGCAGCAGGGCGTTTCCCGCTAATTTGGCGCACCTCTTCCCTGACATCTACGCTTGGGGTGACGTCTAGTTGGTTGGGGCCCATGATCTGAGCGACTCATTCGGTAGCGTCTCAGTGCTGCTTTGCTCGGGTCACCTCGGGCAGCCATCTGTCGATGTGTCACTGTTGCGAGGGTGGAGGTGGATGAGGAGATGATTTAGACTGGGACTATCGTTACTACGGTACAAGTACAACAGAGCTGGAGCTGCGCTTCGCCTAAGGCGAAGCTTCTGGTCGGGCCTCCCGGCCTCCTTCAAACTGACATGCCCGACCTAATTTTGGCGATGACCTGCCTGAAGCGGCTCGCTCTCGTCTGGCACGCCCAGCACCCTTGTTGGAACGGGGAGGGAGGGAGGGAGAGAGGGAGGGAGCAGCGGACCCAGCGGCGTTCGGCAAATTTCTTGGACGTGCTTGGCTCGTGGGGAGTACGGGCGCAGTAGGAACGGTCGAATTCGAGGCCGACAAGGATTCCCAGCCACCCTCCTCTGGATGGCTCCCAGGCCAACTGGAGCTCGTCTACGCCACGCTACGTTTAGCTTAGGTGCGCTGGGCCATATCTTTCCCGGACAAGGTAAGCCGGCGCCAAGGTAAGCGAGACGGGTAAATGATTATAAGCCCCATCAGCCTCGATGGGCACAATTTGGATCCCGACGCGGCTAGGGCGCATAGCTTCGGGTGGTGGTTCTTTGGGGGGAGTGGGTGAGCCGCCGAGAGGTCGAAGGGTCACCAGTAAGTGTCGCCAAGCCGCGCGGCTGCCAGCAAGGACTTTCGGACAGAACGTGGGGTACCGGCGTTGCGCGGGGGTGCTTCGTCCCGCTGTTCTTTACTGATTTGCTCTGCCCTGTGTCGGACGTTCGCATCTACATCACGATGTGCAGAACTTGGCACCTTTTTTTGAAGCCGGCAGCAGGCTACTTTGTGCCTGTGCCTTCCACTAGAGATCATCAGGTCGGAGTTCGCGCTCATGCGTTTTGGTGTCGGGACGGGTTCCCTCAACCAGCAATCCTGACACTGCAGTCTGGCAGCGCGAACGATTTGCATTAGTATGCACGTCGCGCTTCATAGTGCGTGCAGACTCTTACGTACATACATCTGCACATCCTCCTTTATTCCCAACCCTCCTATGGTTGGGTACTCGTTTTGAATAGAGCAGTGTGGTCGCCCCGTCCTTCTCCTCCTCCCCCCTCCTCCCCTCCTCCTCTCCTGTTTCCTGTGTTCCCCTCTCCTCTTCTCTCGTGCCGTCGGGCTGCGATCTGCGCAAGTGTCGCCACTTTCGTGGGCTCCTGGGAGGCCCAGCGGAGGTACGTCCCACGCGGATCACCGCGAGACCTCGCGGTGCCCTGGGGGCTGCGATCTGCGAAACCGTCGCCACTTCCGTGGGCTCCTGGAAGGCCCAGCGGAGGTACGTCCCACGCGGATCACCTCGAGACCTCGCGGTGCCCTGGGGGCTGCGATCTGCGCATCTGTCGCCACTTTCGTGGGCTCCTCGCTGTACGTGTGTACTTCGCGTCCCACGGGATCACTCGACTACCATGCCTCGCCTCCCTCGCGATCTGCCGATTGCAGCCACTTTCGTGGGCTCCTGGGAGGCCCAGCGGAGGTACGTCCCACGCGGATCACCTCGAGACCTCGCGGTGCCTTGGGGGCTACGATCTGCGCAATTGTCGCCACTTCCGGGGGCTCCCATGGGAGGCCGAGCGGAGGTACGTCCCATGCGATCACTTCGAGACCTCGCGGTGCCCTGGGGGCTACGATCTGCGCAATTGTCGCCACTTTCGTGGGCTCCTGGGGGGCCCAGCGGAGGAACGTCCCGCGCGGATCACCGCGAGACCTCGCTGTGCCCTGGGGGCTGCGATCTGCGAAACTGTCGCCACTTTCGTGGGCTCCTGGGAGGCCCAGCGGAGGTACGTCCCACGCGGATCACCTCGAGACCTCGCGGCGCCCTGGTGGGCTGCGATCTGCGCAATAGTCGCCTCTTTCGTGGGCTCCTGGGAGGCCCGGCAGAGGTACGTCCCACGCAGATCACCTCGAGACCTCGCGGTGCCTTGGGGGCTGCGATCTGCGCAGGTGTCGCCATTTTCGTGGGTTCCTGGGAGGCCCAGCAGAGGTACGTCCCACGCGGACCACCTCGAGACCTCGCGGTGCCCTGGGGGCTACGATCTGCGCAATTGTCGCCACTTTCGTGGGCTCCTGGGAGGCCCAGCGGAGGTACGTCCCCACGCGGATCACCTCGAGGGAACTCGCGGTTAGTGCCACCTCGCCATCACCCTTTCCCCCCCCTGGCACCTGCTCTCCTGGGGGCTGCGATTCTGCGCATCTGTCGCCACATTTTTTTTTTCGTGGATTTCCCATTGCTTCTTTTTTTTTCTTTTTTTTTTTTTTGTTTTTTTCTCTTTTCCTTTTTTTTCTTTTTTCTTTTTATCTTTTTTTCTTCGTTTTTTTTATCCTTTTTTTCCTTTCTTTTTTTTTTTTTCCTGGAAGGCCCAGCGGAAGTACGTCCCACGCGGATCACCTCGAGACCTCGCGGTGCCCTGTGGGGCCGCGATCTGAGCAACTGTCGCCACTTTCGTTGGCTCCTGGGATGCCCAGCGGAAGTACGTCCCACGCGGACCACCTCGAGACCTCGCGGCGCCCTGGGGGGGGGGGCGGGAGCGATCTGCGCAATTGTCGCCTCTTTCGTGGGCTCCTGGGAGGCCCAGCGGAGGTACGTCCCACACGGATCACCTCGAGGCCTCGCGGTGCCTTGGGGGCTGCGATCTGCGCAATTGTCGCCATTTTCGTGAGCTCCTGGGAGGCCCAGCGGAGGTACGTCCCACGCGGGTCACCTCGAGACCTCGCGGTGCCTTGGGGGCTGCGATCTGCGCAATTGTTGCCATGTTCGTGGGCTCCTGGGGGGCCCAGCGGAGGAACGTCCCACGCGGATCACCGCGATACTTCGCGGTGTTTGGGGGGCTACGATCTGCGCAAGTGTCGCCACTTTCGTGGGCTCCTGGGAGGCCCAGCGGAGGTACGTCCCACGCGGATCACCTCGAGACGTCGCGGCGCCCTGTGGGGCTGCGATATGCGCAATTGTCGCCATTTTCGTGGGTTCCTGGGAGGCCCAGCAGAGGTACGTCTTACGCGCTGCCGCTTCTCTTCTTGCTGCGCTCGTCTGATCTCATTGCTGGGTGTTCTTCTTCCGCACTGCTGGTTTTTCAGCATGCCCGTCAGCATTGAGTGGTCCTGAGTGTAATCACCACATGTGTAGAAAGGGTTGGGTACGTCGCGGGGTAATTTCCCAATTGGCATACCGAGCCCTCCTCCCTTCAACCTTGCAAAGCCCACGCTTGTTGGACAAGGCCAAGACTACCCTACACAGCACAGATGGCGTGTTCGTAGATTGCAGTCGTCGCAACGAGTAACACCTTCTCAATCATGAACTAGATTGCGTTTCCATTTCGCCGTCACGCCGCAATCGTGGCGGAGACCAGCGTGTGCGAGCGTGGTCTACACAAAGTGCTGTTCGTGCTTTGCCAGCTAGAAGTATGCGCCATGCGAATTCGCCTCTGTCGCCGCGACATGTTGTCGCGAGGCTCCAGCAATGTCCTCTCCCGTTGCCTCTTCTACCCGCCGCAGAGCCACTGATGCCCCAGGAGTGTCCGTTGCTGCTGCCTCTTTTACCCACCGCAGGGACACTGGTCTGGTCCGCCTTTGGACTCGGGGGCGACGTTTTGTGTTGCCACGTTTGTTGTTGGCACTCTTGGGTGTCACCATCTTAGAGTCCACGCGACCGTGCGGTGCACTTGTTACCCCCAACCCTCTTATGGTTTGTTACTCGTTTTGAAAAGAGCAGTGTGGTCGCCCCTTCTTTCTCCTCCTCCCCCCTCCTCCCCTCCTCCTGTCCTGTTCCTGTGATCCCCTCTCCTCTGCTCTCGTGCCGTCGGGCTGCGATCTGCGCAACTGTCGCCATTTTCGTGGGCTCCTGGGAGGCCCAGCGGAGGTACGTCCAACGCGGATCACCTCGAGACCTCGCGGTGCTTTGGGGGCTGCGATCTGCGAAGTCGTCGCCACGTTCGTGGGCTTCTGGGAGGCCCAGCGGAGGTACGTCCCACGCGGATCACCTCGAGACCTCGCGGTGCCCTGGGGGCTGCGATCTGCGCAATTCTCGCCTTCTTCGTGGGCTCCTGGGAGGCCCAGCGGAGGTACGTCCCACGCGGATCACCTCGAGACCTCGCGGCGTTTGGGGGGCTACGATCTGCGATAGTGTCCTTTTCTTCGTGGGCTCCTGGGAGGCCCAGCGGGGGTACGTCCAACGCGGACCACCTCGAGACCTCGCGGTGCCTTGGGGGCTGCGATCTACGCAATTGTCGCCATGGTCGTGGGCTCCTGGGAGGCCCAGCGGGGGTACGTCCCACGCGGATCACCTCGAGACTTCGCGGTGCCCTTGGGGGCTGCGATCTGAGCAATTGTCGCCACTTTCGTGGGCTCCTGGGAGGCCCAGCGGAGGTACGTCCCATACGGATCACCTCGAGACCTCGCGGTGCCTTTGGGGGCTGCGATCTGCGAAATTGTCGCCACGTTCGTGGGCTCCTGGGAGGCCCAGCGGGGGTACGTCCCACGCGGATCACCTCGAGACCTCGCGGAGCCTTGGGGGCTGCGATCTGCGAAATTGTCGCCACTTTCGTGGGCTCCTGGGAGGCCCAGCGGATGTACTTCCAACGTGGATCACCTCGAGACCTCGCGGCGCCCTGGGGGCTGCGATCTGCGCAATTGTCGCCATGTCCGTTGGCTCCTGGGAGGCCCAGCGGAGGTACGCCCAACGCGGATGACCTCGAGACCTCGCGGTGCCTTGGAGGTTGCGATCTGCGAAAGCGTCGCCTTTTTCGTGGGCTCCTGGGAGGCCCAGCGGAGGTGCCCTGGGGGCTGCGATCTGCGCAAT